GATCTCTTCTCTCCTATTCACTCTCAGCTCGCTCCACTCGATCCTGAAAGGTTGCAATTTTCAATTCTTTTGAAATTTTATATATCTCTTAATTTTTTCAAATTTTTTATTTATTAATTGTGTTTTTCTTATCTCGTTAATGCAGTAAAAGAATTCGAATGAGCCACAAGGTTAGTTCGAAATCTCCCTTCATTCCTTTCGGTATGGAGTTAGTGATTATGTTGGAGTTTTAAAGATTTACGATTGCAAACTTGTATCCATGCCGGGATTTGCTGTGTAGATTAGTGTGGAGTATAAAGGAATCAAAGTGGGGAGTGAAATCGTTCCAGGACAAGTTAATTCTGCTGCAGTGGAAGCTTCAGGGTCTTCTACTGTCCTTGCTATTTCGGGTATTGATGTATTCTTGATTATGCGCCTGCATGTTTATTTGCTTATGCTAATAGTAGACCTTGTTTTGTGCGTAAGTGTTGATTCATTTAGGCAATAAAAGATCTTGATAATGAATTTGGTGACTCGGTTAGGATGCTTTGATTACGGCTAGGATGCTTTGATTGTCTTGCAGGTCCAGGTGATTCTAGGGTTTCACAAAAAGGTGGAGCTCAAAATGCATTAGTTGTTGGTCCATCTTTGCAACCAAAGACACTGTGAGTTCTCTATCTGTGTTTGGTTTTATTGCAAAGACTGACATGGACAACAATGGCCCTTTTAATATTTTTTACGTCTTTCATATCTTCTACTGGTTATATTTTTTCTGATATTTTGACTATCAACTTTTTTATGTATTTTTTAGTTAGTAAATGTGATCTTTCTGTTTATCTTCCCGGCCTTGTTTGAATATGCCCTTGCATACACATCTTTTCAAGATGATAAACTGAAATACTGATCATGATTGATTTGCATGATTAATATAATGTCATGATTTGGAGTCACGGTTTATGAATTCTTTGATACATATGAATTCAGGAGTAGCGGTTTATGTCATGATTCTTCTTCTTCTTCTTTTTTTTGACATGCAAGTGAGTTATTGTTGTACTTTGGAATTTTTTTCTGTTGGCATATAATTTTCATATTCTTATCAGGAATGATGTTGGTGTTTCGGGCAAAAGCACTTCAGTGATTACTGCTTCTGGTTCATCTGAAAGGTTTATGTTAATCCCTTTTTTGTTTCATGCTATATTTCATAACAAATGAGACAAACATCTACGCTTGGATGTTTATGTAATACTTGCCCACTGAGATGGATCTAACCAGAATGTATTGATTTGATTTTTTTTTTCCTCATCTCATCTCTTTGTTGTTTGCTTCATTTTTTTTAAAAATGGGACAGCTGTTTTTCCTACTTATTTTGCCCAATAATCTTACTAACATATGTTGTAGTCCTCATATGCATGTCACATGTAATGTGACTATTTGGCTTACCTTTTGCTTTCTGTGTAATAGGAACTTCTCAACCTCCGCGATAATGGAAAGAATCCCGAGCAAATGGCCTCGCCCTGTCTGGCATCCTCCATGGAAGAACTACAGGGTAAGAAATTTTTCTACTTCTGTTGGGGAAGGTTTGGTGGCTGTGTGGGTATTTTGCTCAAATGTCACTTCCAAGTGATAAATTAATTGTCTATTTTGTTCCTTCCAGCAACTGTGGTTCTTGTAGAAAATGCATTAATCTAGTCTACTTACAAATATTTTATTGTGCATCTTTGTCTTTTTTTTTTTTTTTTTTTTTTTTAATTCAAGTCATTCATAAAATTGGATATGGCTATCTCTTCAAATGACAAATCAGACTTTGTTTCAACTTTCTAAGGCTAATAATTGATTCACTAACAATAATGAATGTGTACAAACGTGGGCCAGAAAATTTGGTATAGAGGAGAGTATGCTAATTTCTATGATCATCCTGTCAAGTGTTGGCTCTTGATTGTCTTACTAGATAGTCTGTGCACTGCTAATATTGTTCTCTGAGCTCTTCAATTGCTTTCATATACTTGTGATGTTGATAATGCCGCATCTCTGCTTCTAATGCTGAGTATTTGTCTTTTCCATTAAAATATGTCACCACAAAGTACCATCAGACAATTCTTATTTTGATCCTCAATTGATTACAAGTGGTTTTGCTTGAACTGCTTTTGGTAGTTGAGTGCAAACCCAAAGGTGTTATTCATCGCTCTTGGTTGATTGTGCAGGTCATTAGTGGCCATTTGGGTTGGGTGAGATCTATTGCATTTGATCCAAGTAATACATGGTTTGGTACTGGTTCTGCTGATCGAACAATCAAGGTATTAAGTTTTTAATATTCCTTCATTCAGTTAGTTTGATGACATTTACTGACAACAGAATAACTGATCTTACATGTAATTGGCTGTTTGAACTCCAGCTAATTCATGATTAGGATTCACTTTCCTGTCAATTTGAACTCTTCTGCATGTTCTGTTAATCATGTCATTTCTCATTACATTACTGGATCTGAGTTTCCAATTCATTTATTTGTGTAACAAATCCATTTCTTACTATGGACCTGCATAATCTAAAAGTTCTAGAAATTTTAAATTTCAGCATAATACTTTCATGTTTGATGATGTTCAGAAAATGTATTTCCAAGAAATGGTAAAAGCTGATATACTTGGCCATTTCAAGCTGAACGGTCCATGGAAATTGAGTCCTGTTGCAAATGGTTGTAGCCAGTAGATAATTTCCAAGAATGTGATGAATTTAATTTATGCTGTTGCAAAGGTTATTACTTTTCAGGAGTGCCAAATTAGAGTTCTTCAATGAGTATTTTCCCTTTATTATGTAGATTTTAGAGTATTCACTAGACTGGATTTCTCTCCAATTTTCATAGCAACTTCTGTTGGCTTGTTTCATTTCCTCCAATTTGGGTGTAGTAGATATGGGATGTTGGGAGTGGAAGGTTAAAGCTCACACTAACTGGACACATTGAGCAAGTACGAGGTTAGTTGATGATAAATCATTGCTGGTATGAATTGCTTTTGGTTAATCATGCTGTCAAGGGATTCAAATGTTGAGACCGTCTCTTTGCAGGCCTTGCCGTCAGCCAAAGACATACCTACATGTTCTCTGCTGGTGATGATAAACAGGTTAAATGCTGGGACCTTGAGCAGAATAAGGTGAGAACTTATACCTAAGTAACCTAGCCAGAGCTATAATGTGAGTGAATCTGCTTGTGAAACTCATGTTTTCTGTGCAGGTTGTCCGGTCTTATCATGGTCATCTAAGTGGTGTCTACTGCTTGGCCCTTCATCCTACTATTGACCTTTTGCTTACCGGGGGACGTGATTCTGTCTGTCGGGTATGGAATTTATTTGTATGATGTGGTTTTCTTCCTGCAATAAAGTCAGCAGTCTGTTTAGCTACTCAATCAGATTAAAATTCTTGCTGATTTTTTTATATAGAAAGATAACATGTCAAAACTGTTCTTAGGTCTGGGATATTCGTACCAAGGTGCAAGCTTTTGCACTGTCAGGGCATGATAATACAGTGTGCTCAGTTTTTACTCGACCTACGGTGTGTGATTTTTCCTGTTATTTCTTGTTTCATATTACATTTTTCTCCTGATTACTGTTGCTACCTCATGCTTTAAATTTTCAAATGATATTTATAGTTTGATAAATGCAAGTCAAAATAGAGGGAAATTAATTGTTGCTTTCATTATTTAAGCTCCCTTTTTGTGTCCTTAACATCATTGGTTAAATGTGCTTCTTTCTGTTTCCAGGATCCTCAAGTGGTTACTGGTTCCCATGACTCAACTATTAAGTTCTGGGACCTTAGATATGGTAAGTTACATTTCTTGGGAGGATTGGATTTCCCTTATAATTTTTTCATTCTATAGATTTTTTTTGAGTTTAGAATGATGGTTTTTCTGGCTTGTAGGTAAGACCATGTTAACTCTTACACATCACAAGAAATCTGTGCGAGCCATGGCACTGCATCCGACAGAGTAAATTTCCTGCCACCGATATTACCTGTTAATGCCTGTTAATGATACAGCATAGTTCTTACTATACATATATAATCTTTTTTATGCTGCAGGCATTGCTTTGCTTCTGCATCAGCTGACAACATTAAGAAATTTAATGATACAGCATAGTTCTTAATATAAATAGATATAAAATCTTTTTTATGCTGCAGGCATTGCTTTATTACCTGTTAATGCCTGTTAATGATACAGCATAGTTCTTACTATACATATATAATCTTTTTTATGCTGCAGGCATTGCTTTGCTTCTGCATCAGCTGACAACATTAAGAAATTCAGTCTTCCAAAAGGAGAATTTTTACACAACATGCTGTAAGTTCTCAAACACAATATCTAGTTGCTTAAACTCTACAGTCATCCGCAAGTTGTACATACATGTGTTTCTTTTTGTTTTTGTCTGCCTGTGTATTTTGATGACTGAGATTCTGTTAGATGACTGTGATTGCTTAAGCTGTCTTAAGCTTGGTGAAATGAATTATGAATTGATAAGAGCATAAGGAAATCTATTGCCCTTGTAATATTTATCTTTATTGGTCATTATGGGTGAAAGGGAAATGGTTTTGAAATTTTTATCCTATATGTTTGCATAACTCTTTATGTATTATAGCCTCTTCGGTTGTTAACATCCTGTGGTAAGATTGGTAACCCAGGTTGTTAACATCTGAATGAATCCCTTTCTTTTAGGGACTGGATAGAGTTACTTTCAAAACTAGTTTTAAGACAAGGGCACTGTGTAATTTCATTTCGCTATTGAGAAGTGATTTGATTATTCATTGCATGCATCTGACATCTTTGCATTGATATTCTGTCAGCATGATTATTCATTGATACTCTGTATAATTTCATTTCGCTATTGAGAAGTGATTTGATTATTCATTGCATGCATCTGACATCTTTGCATTGATATTCTGTCAGCATAGTATGTCTAATAACCTGACCTCTTACTACTTGGAGCAGCTCTCAGCAGAAAACCATCATTAATGCGATGGCTGTCAATGAAGATGGTGTTATGGCTACAGGAGGTGCGCTTCTGTGTACTTTTTAATCATGGTCCAAGCTCTACTGATTTGCTGTCTGAAGTCATAACATGTTGTAGTTCCTAACTAGACAGAGATCACCAGTCATAATCCATGTCTAATGCCTAAAATCTTGTCCCAGTCCCAAGATTGTTAATCTTTGGTTTTGGACCCTTGATATCCTCTCACATTTGGTTTGTTTCTTTTTTATGGGTGAATAGGAGGAACATCCACTTCCTCATTTGTCTCTGCATTGAAAAGAAGTTGGCAGTCTTGGATATTTGCCGAGTTTTATACTCATTTGTCCAAAACATTGTTTTAGGTGACAATGGGAGCTTATGGTTCTGGGATTGGAAGAGTGGACATAATTTCCAGCAAGCACAGACAATTGTGCAGCCTGGTATGTTTCCCACTACCTTTTCTGATAGATTTGGTATTGTGTGGAAAGGGAAAGAGGTTTATGCTGATATCTATTTGGCCCCAGGTTCATTGGATAGTGAAGCCGGTATATATGCTCTCTCGTATGACATGACCGGTTCGAGGCTTGTTACTTGTGAAGCTGACAAGACAATAAAAATGTGGAAGGAAGATGAAGATGCCACTACAGAAACTCATCCCCTCAACTTCAAGCCACCAAAAGATATCCGGCGGTTCTAATGACTCTGCTTGCTCCTATTCGCTATCATACTCAGGAGCAACATTTTTGACATAATATAACATGTAATCAGCTTTTGTTGTATTCGCAGTTGCTTGCTATGAGCATGAGAACAAGTAAAACTCCTCAACGTAAGCGTAGCCTTGAAAAGTTGATGGTGCAATTCTTAGCGTTCTCGTTTGGCTACTGTAATTCCTTCGTGTGGCCTGGTTCGTTTTGGATTCAACCTAGATTGGGAACTACTTTAGGGTTCTTCAAATAACTAAGAAAATGAAAGGGTGAATAACTCAGTTTGTTGTACAGTATTGCAAGTCTTTAACGTATCTTTATCTTTCTAGTTGTCTCTTATGTTTTTGTATAACATTCAATTCTCAAATATGTATTCTAAAACCAAATTATATTTTTCATCTAAAAAATTGTCATTGATACGTAAGTTTTTCTTTTTTAAAAATAAAATAAAATTATGTTTTAGCTTAATTTTAGGACATTACAAAAAAAAAAATGTTGAATGTTAGTTTTATTATAGTTTTTTCTTTCTTCTCTCTTTTTTCTCTCTTTCCTTAGAAATTCATGCCTGACCTTTCAAAAAATAATTGTGTTCTCTAGTTTTTGATTTTATCAATTTTATCCCTCCTTTTGATTATTATTTATTTAGCTTTGGATGTTTTTTGAAGGTATTTTGGATATTTTATTCAATTTGATTTTTTTATTCAATTTAGTCCCTTTATTTTTTATTACTCTATTTCTATTTTTTATATTTTTACTTTTTGCAATTTTTTCCCTCCTAATTTTATTGGATTTTTTTTTCTTAATTCATTTTTGTCCTTATTCTTTTGATTTTTATATTCTTATTATTTTCGTGATTTATCTTTTTCTTTTCAATTTTATCCCTCAATATTTTTTTTTATTTTTTTTTTTATCAAGTTTTGGTTTTCATTTTTTACATTTATTTTTATTTTTATTTTTATCAAGTTTTGGTTTTCATTTTTTTGATTACTTTTTTCATCCTTTTCTTAGTTTTTTTTTCAATTTAGCCTCTAATTATTTTCTTTCCTTTTGTTTTTATATCATATTTGGTCTGTATTATTTGAGTTTTAAATTGTTTTATAGTTGAATATTTTACTTTGTTATTTTTTTATGGTTGCCTCCCAATATGACAATTGTTTATTGAAAATTAATTTTTTTTATTTCAAATTCATAATTTGACACTTGATTATTAAGATCTTAACTTCATTGTTTGTTCTAATTTCTTATTTTTTATGTTATCTCGATCTCATATCTTGGGTAATAGGTTAATCAAGTTAAACATGGTTAACTCAGATACTTTTTTCTCAATCTTTTTAACCAATTGATTTCTTTACAATCTTATTATTTAGCGTTAAATTATTGAGTCTTGAGTTATGTGATTTTTTTACTTTTATTTTTGTAGGGTTTTTCTAAGTGCAAGTTAAGTTAATGACACGACTAAAATATTGATGTTTTCTTCCAAGTGTAGGAATGTTAAAGTAATAAATAACCCTGCAAGACCGAGGTCGAACCATAGGGAGGTTAATTGTATAAATTGCAGATAACAATAATACAACAACAACAACAACAA